AAGGCGAGTCAAAAAGAAGAAAAAAAAAGGAAAAAAAAAGAGTGGGCTCAGGCTGGAGGAGGAAAAGAAAAACCCTCGATATAAAGCTCCTGCAGCGGCTGAACTCTTCATCAAACCTCAGAAACAGCAGAGCGAGGGGGCGGGGCAGAGCGAGGGGCGGGGCAGAGCGAGAGGGGGCGGGGCAGAGTGAGGGGCGGGGCAGAGCGAAGGGGCGGGGCAGAGTGAGGGGGCAATGTTCAAAGTTTTTATGTTCTTATGAAGTATGAATAGGCCTTTACCTGTGCTCCTATGATCCTAACAGCAGGTGTGTGTGTTACCTGTACAGATGTGTGTGTGTTACAGGTGTGTGTGTGTGTTACCTGTACAGATGTGTGTGTGTTACCTGTGCAGGTGTTTTACCTGTGCATGTGTGTTACCTGCATGTGTGTGTGTTACCTGTACAGGTGTGTGTGTATGTATGTTACCTGTACAGAGGTGTGTGTGTGTGTGTGTGTTACCTGTGCATCTGTGTTACATGTGCAGGTGTGTGTGTGTTACAGGTGTGTGTGTGTTACCTGTACAGGTGTGTTACCTGTGGAAATGTGTGTGTGTTACCTGTACAGGTGTGTGTTTTACCTGTACAGGTGTGTGTGTTACCTGTGCAGGTGTGTGTGTGCAGGTGTGTTACCTGTGCAGGTGTGTGTGTTACCTGTGCAGGTGTGTGTGTGTGTTACCTGTACAGGTGTGTGTGTGTGTGTGTGTGTGTGTGTGACCTGTGCAGTGTGTGTGTGTGTTACCTGTACAGGTGTGTGTGTTACCTGTACAGGTGTGTGTGTGTGTGTGTTACCTGTACAGGTGTGTGTGTGTTACCTGTACAGTGTGTGTGTGTTACCTGTACAGGTGTGTGTGTGTTACCTGTACAGGTGTGTGTGTTACCTGTACAGGTGTGTGTGTGTTACCTGTACAGGTGTGTGTGTTACCTGTACAGGTGTGTGTGTTACCTGTGCTCCTCGAGCCTCTTGAGCTGGTGTCTGGACAGAGGAGGTGAGGGCAGTTCGATGAGTCTCCTCAGGAGCCCGGGGCCCAGGCAGCAGCTCTCCATGGCGCCCCCTGTGCTCAGCGAGGCTCCCGGGGGCCCCGCCTCTCGACCGGGGGCCCTCCGAGAGCGCAGGCCCCTCCTCCTCCTCCTCCTCCTCCTCCTCCTCCTCCTCCTCCCTGCTGCGGCTGGACCAGGCTCATGCAGGCGCTCTGAGAGAGAAGAAGAGAGAGTTGTTTCACTCCGGGTTTGTGATGTTGGTCTAAATAAAATCGGGTTAAAATGGTGACGTGCCTCACGTGAGACACGAAATACACAAACAACACACACATGGAACTTATGAAACTCTGGATAAATACACCTGAAATACACCTGGTTTAGACCTGATATTGTCCTGGTTTAGTCTTAGTTAAGTCCTGGTTTAGCTCAAATTGGTCCATTTCTTGTATAAAATGGGTCAAATCAGTGGTTTTGTATAAATCTGCTGAGACAGGGGACACAGGATCAGGACTCGGACTGTCCCGGGTTAAATCTGAGACTGTCCCGGGTTAAATCTGAGACTGTCCCGGGTTAAATCTGAGACTGTCCCGGGTTAAATCTGGTGTGTTTAGTGTGAATAGCGCTGGGCAGAATGATCCGGGCCCGTGTCACAGACTCCGGGGGGTTACACAAGGACTCCGCTCATCACTGCGGGACTAAAGCGCCATTCAGACCCCCCCGTACCCCGGGATAAAGCCCCATACCCCGGGACAAAGCACGGCACCGGACCGGGGTCATGTCACAGTAAATATGATCCAAACATGTCCGGGAAACCCCACAGACCCCGAGTAAACAACACGAGTGTTTGTGGAGTTAGCAAGATGGCGGCGGCGGAGGGGCACTTCCTGCAGCGGGGAGCTCCGCTTTAACCTCCTCCACGAACAAACCCCGGGCCCAACACGTCCCCCGGGTCCGACGGTCCGGACCGGGCCCACCATCCGACCCGGACCCGGAGGAGAGCGCCCCGGGACCGCAGACAAATCCGCTTTACAGAGCTGAGGGTCGGCACTGACGGCTAACCCGGAGCTAACCGCGGCTAATGCTAACGGAGGGATCCGCCGCAGAGAGGGCGAAGAGCGGGGAGAGTCAGGGACTGTGCCCGGGACAGAGCGATCATGAGCGGGGAGAGTCCAGGACTGTGCCCGGGACAGAGAGCTCCGCTGGCAGGGACACTCCAGGACTCTGCCCGGGATAGAGAGATCAAGAGCCGCGAGACTCCAGGACTGTACCCGGGACAGAGCACCCAGAACCGGGGAGACTCCAGGACTGTACCCGGGACGGAGCGCTCATGAGCGGGGAGACTACCTGAGCTGTCCCGGTGAGGAGCGGGGGGACGTGACACCGGGACGAGGCTAAAGCTCCGGCCGAGAGCAGAGAGCGAGCACCGGGAGGAGAGCAGACCTGTGTCCGGGGGGTGAGGGCGAGGAGCGGGCAGCGCCGGGGGACCGCGGGGGCTGCGGGCGGAGTTCAGCCGGAGCTCGGGCTTCTCTGCGGTGAGACGGGCGGGTGTCCGGGGAGAGTGTCCGGGGAGAGTCGCGGTGTCCGGGGGTAGATCGGTGCAGACCGGGGCTGCAGCGGAGAGCTCCCGGTGCCTCTGCCGCACACACGGACACTTTTGCCGGGGCTCGGGGCGGGGGCCGGGGCTGGAGCGCTCTCTGCTGAACCGGAGGAGCTGTGTCCGGGGAAAGGTTCCGCAGTGTGCCCGGGTTTGGCGCCATCTGCTGGAGACATAAACACGGAGAAAAGACGTCGAAGGAAGTGGATTATATTTATGAAAACATCATTTGTTTTATCAGATTTAGAATTTTAAATACCGTTGAAATTTTATTTATTTATTTATTCATATGTATTAATATTTATTATATATTTTGACTTTTAGTTGCTGAAATTTTAACATTTAAGCACAAATATTTATCAGATTTAGAATTTTAAATACCATTTGATGTTTACATGACCCATGTATTATTTTTTATTTTGTTGAATTTTTGTTGTTCATCTTGTTGTGATTATCTTTGAACTCTGTTTTTTTTTTTTTTCCCCTCAAACTTGTTTTATTATGTGTCAAACAGTCAAGTGTGTGTGGTTGTGTGTGGTTGTGTGTGTGTGCGTGTGTGTTGATTTTGTTGTTTTGATGCTTTTTTGAATTTCTGTCTCCTACTGTCTGCCCGACTGTATCTGTCTTTTGTTGTTGTATTTATGAGGACCCGAGGAAAACGAGATGGCGACACATCAAGGGGCTTATCCTTCAAATAAATAAATTCTATTCTATAAAATCTGTTTCTCACATTTTATTTATTTATTTGTATGTATTCATATTTACTATTTGTCATTTATTCTGAATTTTAGTTGTTGAAATTTTAACATTCAAGCACAAATATTTTAAATAATAAAAAAAAAAATACAGTTGGATTTCTCAATTTTTATTATTTTTATTTATTTATATGTATTAATATTTATTATTTAATCGAACAGGAAATGGTGCAGTGAAGCGATCTGATTGGTCAGAATTCACCTCATCAAAACCTCAAACCCCGCCCTCAGATGAGAACCATTAGGAAACAGCCTCGATCGATTACTTCTGCCTTGGCGTCTCGGATCTCTGTGGTGAAATTTTACACCAGGTCTAAACCAGGTCTAAACCAGGTCTAAACCAGGACTAAACCAGGTCTAAACCAGGATTAAACCAGGTCTAAACCAGGACTAAACCAGGTCTAAACCAGGTCTAAACCAGGACTAAACCAGGTCTAAACCAGGTCTAAACCAGGACTAAACCGGAACTAAACTGGGACTAAACCAGGACTAAACCAGGTCTAAACTTGTTAAGGAATTACTGGTCAGACCCAAATATGCAGAGGGAAAAAAGTATTTATTACACAAAAATAGTCCATCTAGGGGGGATAGATTCCAGGGGAGGCAGGACGGGTCGGGGTCGGCTGCAGGTGGGAGAGTCTGTGGAGATGGAGACTGACCGGAGGCTTACAGAAACCGGTGGTAACGGGATGAGGCTGGCTCCAAATGAAGTGCTGGGGATGGGACAAAAAACAGGTAAGCATCAAAAAGTTTCGGGAATTCTCAAAAAATCTTAAAAAGCCTGAGTGGTTCACCGCTGGGATGACGGAACGATCTGGCACTGGAGAGCAGGTCAGCAGGTCTTTTATTGTAGGAGACGATTACTGATGAAGAACAGGAGTGGAGCTCAGCAGGAAATGCCAAACAAGGTAAGTGGATACAGAGAGAGAGAGCAGGGAGAAACCTCACAAAACCAGGATTAAACCAGGACTAAACCAGGTCTAAACCAGGATTAAACCAGGACTAAAACAGATCTAAACCAGGACTAAAAAAGGTCTAAACCGGGACTAAACCAGGTCTAAACCAGCGCCCCCTGTGGCCTGAGCACAGAACACACCTCACTGCTCTGGTTCTGTCATTCTTTTATTTCATCAGAAAATAAACATTCCTGCACACACACGGACACACACGACACGTCTACGGACCACTACACACACACACTGTATACACACACTGTACACACACACTGTACACACACACTGTACACACACACACACACACACACACACACAAACACACAAACACAAACACAGGACGTTTATAAAGTCCACAGAGGAAACAGAGTCAGGTCTTTCTGTACATGCGACTCTTTTGGCTCCTGCTTCGGAAACGTGCGGCGCCGAAGCTCACGCCGTTCAACGCTTCTACTGATACTGCGCAGCCGACGCCGTCCACGCTCCCCGGGGCGGCGGCGCCAACCGGAGGCACGGCTCTGTCTGACACTTTCACCGACTTTACTTATCGGAGTTTTATTCTAAATTACGGTCGGACGGACAGAGATCTCACCCAACTTATTTAAACCCTTCGGACGGTGCTCGCTGAACATTCCGCCATAGACATGCATGCACACACCCCCCCGGCCCGGCGCGTGACGTGGCTGCAGAGTATCAGTAGAGGCTCTTCTCCGGCTCAGTCTCTTTTTCTCGTTTCACTGCTTCACGGATTTGAAGAATTCCCGCAGCAGGCTCTTCATCCGCTCCATGTTGGCCGGGTCCGGGCGCAGGTCCAAGTCCAGGCCCAGACCCTGGTCCAGTCCCAGTCCCTGGTCCAGGCCCAGTCCCTGGTCCAGGCCCGGGTCCAGTCCCCGGGCCTGGGCCGTGTGCAGACCCTCGATGGCCGACGAGAGCCAGATCAGACGCTTCAGGCTCTGGACAGTGCGGCCGCGATCGTGCATCAGCTGGTGCTCCGACACCGCCCGCCGACTGACAGGTGCGGCAGGGGAGGGCGGCAGGTGAGAGGGCAGGGGAGGGGGGGCAGGTGAGGGCGGCAGGTGAGGGACAGAGGAAAGAGAGAGAGTCAGTACAGTTCTCAGTGAGTCTGTTTGCTTTAGACCTGGTTTAGTCCTGGTTCAGTCCTGGTTCAGTCCTGGTTCAGTCCTGGTTCAGTCCTGGTTCAGTCCTGGTTTAGTCCTGGTTTAGTTCTCACCTGTCACTCTGACACAGTCCTGAGGTGAAGAGCATCAGCAGCACGACACACGGCACCAACTTCAACGACACCAACATCTGAAACACAACGAGTGTGTAACATCTGAAACACGACGAGTGTGTGTAACATCTGAAACACGACGAGTGTGTAACATCTGAAAAGTGACGAGTGTGTAACATCTGAAACACGACGAGTGTGTAACATCTGAAAAGTGACGAGTGTGTGTAACATCTGAAACACGACGAGTGTGTAACATCTGAAACACGACGAGTGTGTAACATCTGAAACACGGACAACGAGTGTGTAACATCTGAAACACGACGAGTGTGTAACATCTGAAACACGACGAGTGTGTAACATCTGAAACACGACGAGTGTGTGTAACATCTGAAACACGACGAGTGTGTAACATCTGAAACACGACGAGTGTGTGTAACATCTGAAACACGTCCCACACTTTCTGTGCCCTCGTCTGAACATTTGTATAAAAACTGAAGTGTGACGTCACAAACTGATCATGGAAACCTTTAAAGCTTCTGTTGGGGCTCAGGTCGGACTCGGGTCGGACTCGGGTCAGACTCAGGTCAGACTCAGGTTGGACTTGGGTCAGACTCAGGTCGGACTCGGGTCAGACTGGGTCGGACTCGGGTCAGACTCGGGTCAGACTCGTCAGACTCGGTCAGACTCTCGGACTCGGGACTCAGGTCGGACTCGGGTCAGACGGGTCAGACTCATGTCGGACTCGGTCAGACTCAGGTCGGACTTGGGTCAGACTCAGGTCAGACTCGGGTCAGACTTGGGTCGGACTCGGGTCAGACTCGGGTCAGACTCAGACTCGGGTCAGACTCGGACTCGGGTCAGACTCGGGTCAGACTCGGGTCAGACTCGGGTCAGACTCGGGTCAGACTCGGGTCAGACTCATGTCGGACTCGGGTCAGACTCAGGTCGGACTGGGACATGATGGCGTCAGCTGTTTCTGTGTTTTTATTATTTGTGAAATGTGGAGCAAAACTTCAGATCCAGGATTTTTATAAATTCCTCAAAGTTTGGAGATAAAGTTTTGGGGAAGTGGAGTCACTGTGATAAACAGACACAGAGTCATCACAGCGCTGCGCTCCAGTCAAATGAAGCTCATTGGGGCAGCGCTCACAGCGGAGACTCTGCAGCGTTTCACAAACAAGTTTCACAAACGGATTTCACAAAAAAACAAAAAGAAACATCAACACAAAACACACACAAAAACACAAACACACAAACAAACAACAGAGAAACTTCACAAGAACCAAGAAAAAACACATCAAATCATCAAAAATGCTTCTGTTTTTCTGGTGTTTCTGCTTCAGGTGGAAATAGATTTATGATTTTATAAAAGCAGAAATGAAACCAAACATAACACCAACACAGACCAAAACCAGGACTAAACCAGGTCTAAACCAGGTCTAAACCAGGACTAAACCTGGACTAAACTAGGACTAAACCAGGTCTAAACCAGGTCTAAACCAGGACTAAACCAGGACTAAACCAGGTCTAAACCAGGACTAAACCAGGACTAAACCAGGTCTAAACCAGGTCTAAACCAGGACTAAACCAGGACTAAACCAGGACTAAACCAGGACTAAACCAGGTCTAAACCAGGACTAAACCAGGACTAAACCAGGTCTAAACCAGGTCTGACATGTCACGTCTAGTAACAAAGACAAATGACAATAATGATTTCTAAAAAGTAAATAGTAAAAATAACAAGAGACTGGGGTCAGATGAGACGAAACCAGGTCTGAACCAGGACCAAATCCAGACGAGACCTGGACTAAGTCAGGACTAAGGCCAGACTAAACCTGGTCCATGGCTCGGCTCCTGGACTCCTGAAGACTAAACCTGGACTAAACTAGGACTAAACCAGGTCTAAATCAGGTCTAAACCTGGACTAAACCTGGACTAAACTAGGACTAAAC